AACCTCACTATCAGGAAAAGTTGTATAGGGGAAAGGGGGGAATAGAGTGTTTGCACTGATTGTCTTTGGCTTCTGGACGAAGTTACAAACTACGATACTCGACGAAATTGTACTGTACTGTACAGTACCCCCAATCTCACAACCTTCCAAACCATTTTTGCCAATACAATCGAATTCTGCAAAGGTTTCTCCTACGATAGAAGGTGGGGAGGTGGTTTCGGTTATCCATGTAGCCTGTGACTCAATAGGCGACGGAATGATATACTATCTCTGGTCAAACACCAGGGGTGTCCTGTAAGAATTGATAGAGCAGTTGGCGGGAAAGCAAACGGGTTGACCGACTGTTTCATATAAGAAATATGCGATGTATAAGCACACCAAATCTTGTTCGGAGATCGCACGGTCACATTCCATATCCTCTCATCACCAGATAATCGATTATACTACGATGGCACAGCACATCGTCGTCCGGGTATTTTGCCTAAAAAATGACATTATTTTTTCACCTTAGAGCACATAAACTTACTATTCAATTATCAAAATCTGCAGGTAAGATGATTCATTTGTTGCTACCAACATATTAGCATCCTAAGTGTTTTCCTGCGGATTTGGGTTGTGAAATCCGCAGTTTTCCAATCAAGAACCTCTCTCTAGGGCACCCATACAAATTTTAGGCGTTTAGACTGAAATTCGGAGCTCTTCTGAACAGAGCTACCTTTCTAGACAAGTCTGGCTTAATTGACAAAATCCCACTCCGACATTGAACCCTTAGATTCCTAACTACATGTACATGTACATGTATAATATAAGACCAATGAGAGGGTTAACGTAGCAAGTGTGAAACTAGAATCCTCACCTCCCCCGATCATTTTGGTATAGTCTTGTTATAATAGTATAAGCTACAATGATCGACGGACTTTGACACTATCGTTCGGGATCAGAAGCCAGTTTCGTGAATTACATGTATTGCTTCGAGACAAGAAACGGATGGGACTACTAGGGTACCGGCCTAGAGCTATGTAGTGCAAGTACTAAGAGAGATAGCTAGTCCCCAAGAGTCGCTAGCAGTAGCACTAGCATTCCCCACCTCTCCTGCAGCACCCCAAAAAACTTTGTTTCCAATTTCTCACGCAGAACACTTCCCGTGCAAAAGTTAGCCCCTCTAGTCCCTTGAGTTGTTTCTTTCGTAAGGGTCAAGAGTGTGAAACCATTGCTTTTTTTCTTGATTACCGTACTTGACTGCCACCCAGGCGTGCTGTTAATTGAAATTTGGTTGCCTTGCCTGGACTGTATCCATCCTAGATTAGCCGAGTACAGTACTCAGCAAACAAGTTAAATTATGGCTATTCATCGGCGGTCACTCGGGGCCTTTTGTGCCCAATGTCTTGAGGAGAACAGAGAATAATAGGAAATTAGCCCGGCTCGCTTTACCCGTCCGAAAGATTTGGCGAGCCCTGTGTTGAACGGATTGGGTAGAAAGCTCTTCGGCTTGGTTAACGAGATTTGAGTTATGCGCTTAGGATGTTGGATCAATATGTAATGTCACAGGCGAAATTACATCTTCATTCCAGCAGAATGCATTTAGTAAACTGCAGACGGAATGTTTCCGTTATTTCGACAAATTTTCAGCCTCAACGCAGCAGCTCTCCTAAGGGCAGTTTCGGATCAGGGTAAATTAGTCCTCAGTTGCTCTGCGAAACCTAATGCTTGTCGATAGAGAGGTGCAACAGCTATATGACTTTGTTGGGGGTAAGCTAAGGCTCCAATACTCAATCTATGGTGGAGCAAGAACTCAACTTTAACTTCCGCCTCCATTCAATTCTTAGTTCTCCGTTGTTGCGGGTTATTATGATATGGTATCACAATGAACCGAACTTTTGCCATCAAGTGACGGGGCTTCAACCGCGGCCCACTGTGATCTCTCGTTTCAACTTGCATCCGGAAATATCCAAATCTCTAGACCATACATTATTAGTCAAGGATATGATAGGAATAGGTCCAGACATCCCATAAACTCACAAATCCCTACGGAGGTCTAATCTCCTTTCATCGGCCGCCATTATTATTAGCTTATCGTGAATTTATTCGTTCGGAGCATCCGACTGCGGAAACTCCGAGTATAAATTTACCATAATGTTCCAAGTTGCTGTGAGCTTGAGCTGATAAGCGACGCATGTGAGTTTGCGACAGTGGCTCAGTACGAGGGCGGTTAAGGCTTGACAGGTGTGGAGGCTCTGTTATCCATTTCGGGACTAGCTCATCCTAGCCCCCCACCACCATTACTTATCGGTAGTTTAGAGTCTAATACCGGTATGCAGCGGAAACACAGTACTAGTACAGAACCGTATATCGATACAATTCTCTCTGCAGCATCAGATAATCAGGTACAGTGCAAGGCATAAAAACGGCAGTGCAACGGGCTCCAAAGGGAAAGGGTCAAAAACCAACCACCAACAGCGGTGCAATCTTTTTCTTACAAGCACTCACATTCTGGAATACGGTGGGGCACATAGTATAGTATGATACTTCATGATTCTTAAAGACTCTCTTGCCAAGAAAATGACTAGGACTATCGTAGCTACGAGGATCGCTATATATGGTGTTTGTCTCAGGACATAAGTACCCGAAACAGGGATTGAAGAAGTACCGTATCCCGGTAGTAAAATATTTGTTTGTACGAGTATCTGAGCCCCAATGCAAAAATACCCCCCGTTTTCGGGTACTTCTAGTTTAGGACAAGCAGGAATGACTAATATCCCTTCGGTACACACACAATACGGTATACATCCTTGCCTGAACATTCCCGGTTAAATATTGGCACAGGATATGTGCTGGATGTAGATCTAGTGGACTCATGGTACTCGAATACAATACCTTGCCAATCATCCACCATGTTTGCCGTGGAATGGAACTGCCATGGCGCGGAATAGGAGGGCTGGTTAGAACTCTGATGGCTTCCCGGGTATAGCCAGAACCCGTGACCTAGATGGCTCATCAGGATTTAGACACCAGAAATGCTTGGGGACTTTGACAAAGTATACGCCATCACTAGCTCGGGAGAGGCACACCATCAACCGTCCCAGTTCGAGAACTGTATGACAGGACTTTGCGGTGGGATTCTGCCTCACGCACACCACTACAAGCTAAAGAGCCGATAGTTTGGTAGATCTATCGAAATTTGTCCGCCTGGATCTGAAATGCAATGCACGGTAGGGCACATGTGTTACTTTTTTTCCCAGTGTGTGTGCCTCAAATGATATAAGCAGGCGTGAACTTATCTTATAGTGTAAATTCTGGGTAAAACTCGACCTGCAGCTGGTCTCTATATGGCGCTTACTATCCCCAGGAAAGCGGGTTTGCCACAGGATTAGTCCTTGAAAAAAAGCACTCAAAAAATCGGGCTGAGCCTCAAGAATTTGGTGGTAGGCAAGAGTAGTCGTCTTCCAGAAAATTAGGGGCAGTTCCTTTGTATAGCGACGTTTCGAGATCACCTAGAATCCGCGGCACTCTCTTAGTTTTAGGATGGTGGTGGAGACAGGCTGCAAACAATGGATTGGCACCTAGCACTCCTACTGGGAGCCGCAGGGGAGTCAGCTATCATAAAAGAAATATTATGTGAGAAATACTGTTTATGTGTATTAGGCCTTGCATAAAGGATGGAGGAAGGCTCAGCATAGATTTGTCACTTGGCTGTTCCTTCGCCCAAAAGCGGAGCCAAGCCATAGCTCCCTTGCTGTGCCACAGCCAAGCCAGCTGCAAGTGACCAATGAAAAGGAAAAGTCCCTTAATTACCCATTTCGAGGCATTCCGTTGGCACCGCCCCCTTTCGTCCTGATTGTTCATCAAGAATGCTCTGATTAGGGAATTTAATGTCTAGATCGTTGCCCACTTTTGGTCCTCCTATTGGTTAGTGGTCCTCAATGGTTCTTTAGTAGAATCTACTCGTATATCCCTACCCATGCTAATCCGTTTCCACCCACCTGGTACGGTCACAACTATTTTACCTTTTGTCCAGGAACTTTGATGGGGACGGTAGCTGAGGCTACTTCCTGGCGAATGGCGCTTATGATTCAGCTTGATTTTCTCATATGGGTCAGGTCTTAACTACAGATTAGATGGTGACTCGAATGGTTCTATCATAACGAAGGATGTAAGATAGGACGAGTTCTCTAAACTTACTTCTGCCGATTTGTAGTATGCACGATCCTTTCCAGCGGACCTACAGACGCTCCCGCTTTGTAAGTGTTTTGCGGCGAGATTTTTTTTTCTTTGAGCGAGTTCCTCTATGACAAGGAAAACCGGTAAACAACAAACCCGGCAATACATTCGTAAGGAGCAAAAAACAAAAAAATGGCCAAAGGAGAAACCTGTGAGGTCATAGAGCAGCTGGCTACCGCCCCACCGCTCCTTCGTTGCTTCCCTTCCTCCCCCCTTCAGCAACTCAAAGGTGAATATAAGTGTTAGCCACCGTCAGCCCGTTCATGCCGTTGCAGATCAGGAAACTAAGCTTCTAAGCAGTGAAATTCGAATTCATCCAGAGATAGCTGGTGTTTACTGAAGCATCATCTCTAAACAGTGCAGCAAGTATACTCGTGGAAGTTTTAGAACAAGCCATTATTCTTTACGTTGCTCCTATTCCTTACAAATTCCCACAAGGTCTAAGCACAACTCAGCCCGACTTCAAGCAAGCTATCTCACCGACTACCTTCCTTAGATCCTCGAATAACACTGCACCCCAAGCTACCAGCCCACACTTCAATTCACCTCTTATAAGACCTCATTGCTTCCCTCCTCGAAGCATGTCCTCATCAAGCAAGCAACAGCAATCACATCTTTCAGTTCAAGAAACAAGCCGGTCTTCTTCTGCTCCCCCTTCTACTTCTTTAGCTCCAATCCCAATTTCCACTTCAGCAACTCCCGCAATCCGGGTTCATCCAACCCTCCAAGCCCAGATCGACTCATTCAACCACAGTCTAGCCGATCCAAACCACTATCCGGAAATGTCCAACTATTCTAGCTCTCCTTCTGATTATTTATACCCTTCCTCTACCGGCGGGGCTCCGGGGAGCAGCTCAGCCATTGTTTCTCAGGTAATGCTACAATTACTTCCGGAAGTTCACTGCAAAACTCATGGAATGCTAACTATTTCCTAGACTGAGATCAACCAAATGTTACATACTCTCCGCAGCCACAGGGTCAATACCCTCACCGAGTTGCGGAGAATTGAGAAGGTCTTAGCTTCTATCAACACTATCGAATATTGCACAGTCATGAGGGATGCATGGAACCACTACGTTGGTTCCAACTTCCTGAATGAACTGAGAGGCCTAACTCAAAAATATCCCTTCTCAAACGATCTCCTAGAGAATAGCAAATGGAGAGTCTACAACGACCCCACTAGCAACAGGAGCTGGAACTTTGCTTGGCTCCTACTTGTCAAGATGAAGAATGAGTCAGTTCCTCTTGCTCCCCTCCACCTCCAAGGCTCGTATTGAGATTCCTCGAGCTAATATTTTTACCAGCAACATGATTTCTGAATACGCAACAAAGACCGCCTTCCAACCCGCAATGTGGGGCAACGTCGTCCCGGACGCGGCGAGTGCACAGCAACTTTCCAACGTCCTTACCCAAGAATGGACCAATGCTGTCGACAGATTGCTCAAACATTGGTCCAACTCACCTCCGGTCACCGCTGAATTCTACTGAGCTGGAGGTGGAGACAATCAATCAATCACAGCAAGCTTTGTTCCTCATTCATCTGCTCATCTGCTCGACTGCTAAAAGCTCACCTCTAACGGCATTTGCGAGAGCTCAGAAGAGGGAAGGGATGTGGAATATCTTGTCTGGTTGCGGTGGGGGTAGGGTAGCGAGGGAGGAATTTATCTAAAAAGCAAAAAAAAAAAAAATCACCGGGGGTTATAGGAAATTGGAGAAATCGAGGGCAATTGGCGCACAGGCTCAGCTTATAGATTTTTGTCCGCTCTTCCCCATTATTTTCTGGAATTTCATCTTTATGTTTTCATTTTTCTTTAACCATGGACGGGCAAGTTAGTCTTGTGGCTCCTCCGAAATAACTCGGGTTTGCCTGGAGAACGCTCACCATTAGTTTAGCCATTTGTTTATTTAGTTCCTTTGCCTAGTCTAGTTCTAGTTTATTAATATTTAAGTCTTTATACCACCACTACTAATATCGTACTTTTTTCGATCACCTCGTGCTACAGTACCTTTACTGGTACATCAACCAGTCCAGGAGATCACGGAAACTTGAACTAAGGGGGAAAAAAAACATCCCCTAGGCAAATTACCACCCTTAGTTGATACAACATATAGCACCGCAAAGTTATTTACGATAGAAAAGGAAGCAGATTAAATGGCTATGCGAGGAATAGCCCCCCCCATAACCTGCTCCCTCCCTCTATTTCCCACAATTCATTAGCTACTGACAGTACCATAGCTAATACCACGACGTTATGCCCACCCGCTGGTACCATACGATATTACCGAAGGGGCCCGCCACTAATGCGTTTAGCATGTCGTTTGTTTTAGTCTACCGGTACCCGTTTTAAGGCGCAGGGTTTTCTTGCTTGAGGGGGCACTACAAGTACGAGTAATTACTGTTTCGGGAAATGTGTTTTTTCTTGGCAAAGTGAAAAGGTGATTTTCGCGTGGGAGATGGCTGGAGATAGGAGTTAGGTTAGGTAGGTGGGGTTGGATGACTGATATGGTACGGCGGAGATTGGCGTTTAGCGCTCTCTCTCTCTGGGGGATTAGATGGGGGGGGGGGAAAGTTCCGGGGGAGAGAGGGAAAGGTAGAGAATACTCCTTCAGGTTCCATTGGGGAGGGCGATGAGATGGGGTTCACTAATGCTTACCCACCGTGCGGTATTTGCTTGCTTGGGTTGCCAGACTTCGAGTTTCCGAGTCGTAAGCCATGATACCGGTAGTGGGGGATAGAGTATCATACCGGTTTGTGGGTCCTGTATCATAACCGTTATACGGCTAGTAACTTTTTGGTAGCATATGCAGCTTACCTGCCATGCTCCCACCAACTGTCAAACTGCGCAAGTGAAGAAAGCCAACTCGCACCCATCCACTTCTCTCTGTTGCTATGCCATCTTGGTCACTGGCCTACCGGTACTCGTGCCGGCTCGGGGGTGCCAGGGTGATAAATTGTTATTGAAGAATGGGTAAACGTTTTCCATGTCTTGACGAGCAAGTCAATTGTACCCGCCAAGCCCTCTAATGCCTTACCTGCATAGTACTCGTACATCGACCAACCAGCGCGCTAACGCTTGCGTTACCGGTTACGGGAATTTGTCCTATGTAGGGTTGCTTTTGTTACGTTGTATTGTGAGATGAAAGCTTTTTCATTGGCCTTTGATTGGTAGGTGTAATAATTTCAGGGGAATCTTCTGGAGTGTTTTTTTACACGTTTTTTCTTTCCCTGGTGATTGATTATTAATTGAGAGGTTGAAAGAGAGGCTCTACACAAGGAGATCTCTACATCTATAGTGAGTGGGGGGGGGGGGGAATTGAGGGTAAGCAGAAAAAGCAAGGAGAGGGCAAAGTAAACTGGCAAGCGTAAGAGTACAGTACAAAGCTAGAGCTCGCCTGCTGCGGTTGCGGTTATTGTTATTGTGGTTTCAATTACGGTACACAACCGGTACCAACTGCCGCTACTAACCACCACCAACCCAACCGTACTCGCTGCAACTGTGGTGTGTGCAACTGTGGTGTGCCGGGCATTCAATGCATACAATAGAAGGATCCAGAACCGGAGAGTTACCTGGATTTGGGACATGTACTTATATGCTTTGCGTGTATAGGTGGGGGGGAGGGTATGTTTAGGCGAGGTGAGGCTACCTTTTCTGCACTTTGTAAACGGGGACACGCCCGGCAAGCTCCATTCAATACAGCGTGATTTTGGAGGATTTTCACGTGTTGGGGAATGGAGTGGGAGATCGTGGCTCATGCGGGGATATGCGACTGGCGGGGGAGGGTTAACGAGGAGGGCGGACATGCCATGGATGCGCGCTCAGGAAGATTCGCGACCTGACAATGGGGAAGATCAATCACCTATAGGTCGGGTGAGGGAACGCATGAGAGAAGGTTCTTTTGCTCTCTCGGGTGAAAGGTTTGAAGCATTGAACGTATAGTGGTGTGCAACATAAAAGCGTGATGCTGCATCTCACGGGCACAGTTGAGGCTGAGGGGCACAATGGTAGACAGAACTCAATCCGTGGATGCGAACCACACCCCAGTGCTTAGCAACAACAAACTACACTGTCGCCACTACACCAGATACCGGTATGCCCATATCATCGGACCGTTTCTCCCGGGCGAGTGAATTCTCCTCCGAAACCGCGCAACACGCGCCAAATATCCCCCTGCTTGCCAAGGAGCAGGTTAAGCCGAAAAAATGCACAGACAACCGGATATTTTAGCCTCACCTCAACCTTATCAGCAGCCACAAGAGGCTGGCCCGCGTTCCACCAACCAGCCCCACCCACCTACTGTAACAAACCAACTCACCCTTTGCCTTTCGACGCTCACAAGTTTATTCTAACCCATGATATCGAGCATGCCAACCCACCGGCCGTAAAACGGAAGCTTGGCTAGCTTGCGGCTAAGAAAGATGTACGAGAGAGTGGAAAAAAGCGCTATATCCTCGGGCGGCAAGAATTTCCCGGTGATAGGGATCATGAATCATGGTCCCCCTCTCCAGAACCCTGCAGGAGCGAGAGCCAGGAACCAGGACAGGGGGGATATCTACCGGCGGATGGCAGCAAAAGCAGATAAATTTGAGTTCGCTTGGGTGCGGGTAGTCCCCGTCGCGTTGGGATCGGATTGTGTCATGCACTGGCTCGATCCATGGGTTTGCGGTGTGTATGTGTGCGGAAAGAGACAGGAGAGCCCAACTCAACCGGTTCAAGGCTAGTCATGAGGAGAGTATTAGGCTGACTTGAGGGTTTTTTATTGTTTGGTTGTTTCTTCTCCCCTTCCCCGTCACGGCGCAGAATTGACCTTCTGCTAAAGGGATGTGAGTCGGTGAAGGCTAATTGTCTGGTCTTGTTACTTGTTACCCGCTTTGTCTATGCCTTAGCTTAGTTGCTACGGTGGGTTCCAGGAAAATTGTAGGGCTCAAACATTATCCGGATCGGGCTTTTTTGGCATGATACTACATTTAATTTTTAATAACCTAATCTCTACTACCGCCTCTCACCGTGAACCCCACCGGAAATCTAGCTTGAGCGGGGAAGAAAGGAGATGGGGATCGAGAATATGGGAAAAGCGAGGGAATCCATATTTTTATCCTACTTCAAGTACAGGGAGGAGGGATGATAATTCTGGATCATGTTGTTTCACGCGCGGCACATTGGAGAGACTCCTTATTTAGTTTTTTTTTTTTCTGGCCCTTCTGCTGCACTTTATCGCCTCCTTTTGGTAAAGTTTGTCCCCCAATTTACGTTGTTGTGCTTGGGGCCCTGCTAGAGTCACTGATAAAAAAAACAATCTTTTATCGGGTCTTCCGGTCGGGTTCTGTTTCTTGGGGACTGCACCAGAGCCCGATGGCGGCACCCAGGTTGCTTTGGATGGACCGGGGATTTGAGGATGTGGGATGGTATGACAGGGTCGGACAAGGATGTTGATGAGAGTCTGTCATAGGGAACAAGCTTTGTGACACACTATAGTATCGTGTGAGGCTCCTTATTACTTGGGGCTCAGATGGGACTCGAGTGCGAATTAGTAGTGGATCACGAAAGCCTCTGGTGAGGGAATTGAGCTTCTGGGGGGGGGGGTATCGGAGAGAGTGAACTCCAACCCAGTAGAACACCCAGGAGGGGGGAGAATCTATCCTTGTTCTGCAAGGGAATTGGAAAAGCGTTGCAGATCTTCCTTCCTTTAGTTGGCAATTCTCGGGAAGACGCCCTCCTGCGTTGGGGCCTCACGAATCACGGGATTATCCCCAAGGCACTGCTTATCCAACGGTACAGCGATATTCTAATCCTGGACCGCATTTCCCCGCACTCTCTGACCTACGTCCCTCTTCCATCCATTCCCAGCACTACCTCACCCAGGTCCCCCTTGAGCCCACCCCACTCTCTGGTGAGTCAAGGGAGAGGCAAAGGCCTGAGCCACTCACCATGGGCAAGAATTGATATCAATTCCCCCTAAATCTATATTTAGCACCGAGTGATAAGCGATGTTTCCACAAGCGCCGGGGTAGCTAGGATAAACCCTCCCTAAAAAGAAGGTCATCTTCTACGCGAGCGGCTCTTAGCCATGTTCCGCACATTTGAGGCCTATTTGGGGGGTGCTAGAGTCGTACACGAAAGATACCAGTGGAATGCGCAGGGTAGATGACGTGTACGCGGATGATATATTAATCCACAATGTATCACTCGTAGAAGCGCTTTTTGGGCGGTATGGGCGGATGATGGATTCTGTTCGATTCGCCTGATCTGATGCGATTGAGGGTGCCTCTTTGAGGGCTGCTATGAAGACATGCCTGCGCCACGAGCAAGGCACCTCCCCCCTCCCCCCGACAGATGGGGAGTCTAGACTTTGATTCACATGGGGGAGGGGAGAGATCCGGTTGGCATTTCTAGTTACCTGAGAGGCTGGCGGTCGTGTTCAGGGATTGTCGACGAGCAGGTTAAAAGATGGCCACGGTTTTTGTTGGTTGGCTCCTGGTGCGTTGTAGA